AAAAACTTAGCTATTAACATCCTAATACCATTCGATAGGTAATTAAAAATTGCATTTCCTGGTAAGTTAAAAAATATGGGGTTGTATTTAAATTACTCAAGCTATAGCCACTTAAAGTTCTTATTTGATTAGTTTAAATTTGTGGACACCCTGTATAACCTGGTAAGTTTATTATCATTGGGCTATAAAATATTATATCTTGTTACACTTCACTATAAATTACGCTTACATAATTTAAATACTTCTAAAGTATTTGACACGTGATAATTAGATTATATTTTGACTAAATTCGTATTATTTAAAAAACCTTAAGATTTAGGTGTTATAAACCTTATTAAACAGACACTTATTTTGTTCAGCGAATCCAAAAATGCAATAATACACAGGACATTCCATTTAAAAAAAACGCAACTGTGATACCTTTAGAGCTTTTGGGACACCCCGTACATTACCAAAATATTTTTAAAATGTGCGCTCGGTAGGCGTCGGAGAATTCATAAAATAATACTTTTCAAAAATCAAACGGTTAGCCGCAAACTTCCGTGCCGTATAGCGTGAATAACCCTGTATATATATAACATTTCATATGTAAAAAACAGACCCTCCTCCGAAAATTCCTGCTTTCTTTGGGTAGTTGGACAACCAAGAAAAACCCTTTGCAGTTATATGATGATTATTTTTTTCCAATTGCTTCATCTAGATGTGCCACAGTAGAGGGAGTGACCACGCACAGTCTAAGGGCGGAAACCCATCGGGATCTGGCCGTGTGGGCAAAATCCCTGGTCAATGGGAGCCATGCCAGTGCGGTCACTCAAAAGGAGCTAGTTTGCCGTACGTATAGCTGTACCACTTCCCCGCAGGATTTACCAGAATTTTTCCTCCATCCAGGATGCATGTGGAAAGGGCGGCCCGCCCAACTGGTCATCCACTACGAGAACGGGTTCACTCTTCTTGAAGCAGGAACAGGGTCCAGGACCTTGTGGAGATACTCCTTTGATCGCCTGCGGAATTCATCTGACGACGGAAAGAGGTACTTGTGGCTGGATTTCGGCTCGTCGGACGACGGAGAAGTGGTAAGTTAACTAGCGGTGTCATTATCGTGCAAATAAAGGCGTTTTTTGCAGGAGTTGGACATTGAAGGTTGCCCCAAACCCATCGTGTTTATTCTGCACAATTTTTTATCTGCCAAAATTCATCGACTTGGACTGACTGCGTAGGTTGGTGCCCCCAGTCGACTCGACCCGCCAGCTGTTGTACAAAAGCACTTTTTGTAAATACTTTTTGTCAATTAGCAATTTTCTAAATGATCTTATAAGTAACTTAGCATTTTCTAGCTAATCAAAAGCGGCTCAGTGTTAGTCTCAGGACGACGCTTCAGTCTCAATTCTCCTAGTATTGATAACGTTCTGCGACGGGAACAATCGAATTAAAGCATTCGAGTTAAGTTAAAAAAGATGAGTTTAGTTGTTGTTGGTCGCAACAACATGCTTTTGTCCAAAAAAAGGGCGAGAGAAACTTTACTAATATCAAAATCTGATTCGATTAAACAACTCGAATGATTTTTTCGATTATTCCCATCCAACTAATATCGTTACCGATTAAACCTATCAGTATTTACAGTAATTTGCAGTAATTGTAAATTTCTTGTAGCATATAACGAACGTAGACAATATGTACCATACTTACATACGGTAAGGAATAACGACGCTTTTATCAGTAAAATCTCTGTATATAAACTAAAATGGTAATCAAAAGTATTTTATGTATTTATTCAGACAATAATGAATTTTGCGCAAGTTGGAACGTTAGCAGCCCTAACTTAGACCACAACATGAGCATAAGGATCCAATCAAACGCCACCACATAAGGGGGGGTTTCTAGACGAAGCCACCCCAAAGAAGAAAAAACGTCCACAAGTCTATTGCTTGACACCACTGAGAACCCCAAAGGCGTTTCAATTTCGCTCAGTTTGTTATGTTGAGTGTTTTTTTCCTGTTTCGTTCCACTGGTTTTGATAGCTTTTATATTATGTAGTTGAATAACTAACTAAGTGAATGTCAATGAGTAGGAAATTTGTATTTTTAAAAGTTGCTAATCGAGGTTGTGTGCTGGCCAACAATATTTTTAGCTATGACATGTTTCCTGTAGTCGAATAAATATTCTTAAGAATCTCAACAGCCGTTACTTTGTATAGTCCCAGGTATAACCAAATTACGACAAAGAAACAGTTGAGTTTTTCGCGGTTTTAGGCCCACTTGGGAAGAGTGTAGAGGGGTTCTGGAACGAATTTTTCCCGTTAAATTTGATCGTAGATCTAGTCTTTACGAACTTTCGGCAGTGAAAGCTTTGCTGAAAAGCGCTAAATCTCCAGTTTCTTTGGTTTTTTGAAATTTGAAAATTGGTTTGCCACTGGGCCTGTTCCAGGGTAAAGGGTACAGAGGGTTTCAAAAAGCGCACTTTTCTGCTTACATCGCGTTGTAACTTCAGCAGTTTTGCGAACTTCCGGTTTACGAAAACTGCGTTCCAAAGCTCAAAGTCTCCACTATTTTGAAATTTGAAAATTGATTTTACACTGCCCTTCTTCCAGGGTAAGGAGTGTGGAGGGTTTCAAAAAGTGCACTCTCACGCTTAAATCTTTCTCATGCGATATTTCAGGAGGTTTGTGAACTTTCGGTTTGGGCTGGGTTCAAAGACACAAAATCCCCGCTTTCTTCGTATTTTCGAAATTTGAAAATTGGTCTTTTACTGGGGTTCGTCCAGGGTAAAGAGTGTGGAGGGTTTCAAAATGTGCACTTTTCCTCTTAAATCCTGCCGTAATTTCAGCAACTTTGCGAACTTAAGGTTTGCCAAAACTGCGTTCAAAGCCGCAAAATCTTCACTTTCTTTACTTTTGCGAAATTTGAAAATTGAGATTCCACTGGTGTTTCTCCAGGAAAAGGAATGTGGAAGGTTTCAAAATCGCACTTTTCCAGTTAAATCCTGTCGTAATTTCAGAAGTTTTGCGAACTGCCGTTTTCAAAAACTGCGTTCAAAGGCGAAAAATCTCTGCTTTTTTGAAATTTGAATACTGGGATTGTTCCAGAACAAAGAGTGTGCAGAGTTCCAAAAAGCGCACTTTTTCTCTTAAGTCATGTCGTAATTTCAGCAATTTTGCGGACTTCCGGTTTGCGAAAACTGAGTTTAAAGACGCGAAATCTCTACTTTCTTACTTTTTTGAAATTTGAAAATTAAGATTTCACTGGGGTTTTTCCAGGGTAAAGAGTGTGGAAGGTTTAAAACATCGCACTTTTCCAGTTAAATCCTGTCGAAATTTCAGAAGTTTTGCGAACTTCCGGTTTAAGGAAAACTGCGTTCAAAGGCAACAAATCTCTACTTTTTTGATTTTTTGAAATTCGAATACTGGGATTGTTCCAGGGTAAAAAGTGTGCAGGGTTCCAAAAAGCGCACTTTTTCTCTTAAATCTTGTCGTAATTTCAGCAATTTTGCAAACTTCCCGTTTGCAAAAACTGAGTTCAAAGACGCAAAACCTCTACTTTCTTTACTTTTTTTAAATTTGAAAGTTGAGATTTCACTGGGGTTCGTCCAGGGTAAAGAGTGTGTAGTTTCAAAAAGCGCACTTTTTCGCTTAAATTCTGTCCCAATTTCAGCAGTTTTACAAACTTCCGGTTTGCAAAAACTGCGTTCAAACATGCAAAATCTCCTCTTTCTTTAATTTTTTTATTAGAAAATTGGTCTCGCCGGACTTCTTCCAGGCTAAGAAGTGTAGAGGCTTTCAAAAAGCGCACTTTTCCGCTTAAATCCTGTTCTAATTTCAGCAACTTTGCGAACTTAAGGTTTGCGATAACTGTGCTCAAAGACGAAAAATCTCTACTTTCTTCACTTTTTTGAAATTTTAAAGTTGAGATTTCACTGGGGTTCGTCCAGGGTAAAGAGTGTGTAGGGTTTCAAAAAGCGCACTTTTTCGCTTAAATTCTGTCTTAWTTTCAGCAGTTTTACAAACTTTCGGTTTGCAAAAACTGGGTTCAAAGATGCAAAATCTCCTCTTTCTTTGATTTTTTTTTATTTCAAAATTGGTCTCGACGGACTTCTTCCAGTCTAAGAAGTGTAGAGGCTTTCAAAAAGCGCACTTTTCCGCTTAAATCCTGTTGTAATTTCAGCAACTTTACGAACTTAAGGTTTGCGATAACTGTGCTCAAAGACGCAAAATCTCTACTTTCCTCACTTTTTTGAAATTTTAAAGTTGAGATTTCACTGGGGTTCGTCCAAGGTAAAGAGTGTGTAGGGTTTCAAAAAGCGCACATTTTCGCTTAAATTCTGTCATAATTTCAGCAGTTTTACAAACTTSCGGTTTGCAAAAACTGCGTTCAAAGATGCAAAATCTCCTYTTTCTTTGATTTTTTTTWATTTGRAAATTGGTCTGGCCGCACTACTTCCAGGCTAAGAAGTGTGGAGGCTTTCAAAAAGCGCACTTTTCCGCTTAAATCCTGTTGTAATTTCAGCAGCTTTGCGAACTTAAGGTTTGCGATAACTGTGCTCAAAGATGCAAAATTTCTACTTTCTTTACTTTTTTGAAATCTAAAAACTGATATTTTACTGGGGTTTGTCCAGGGCAAAGAGTGTGGAGGGTTTCAAAAAGCGGACTTCCCCGCTTCAATCCTGTCGTAATTTCAGAAATTTTGCAAATTTCGGGTTTGAAATACTACTTTCTAAGGCGCAAAATGTCCACTTTCTTTACCTTTTCGAAATTTCAAAATTGGTCGTGCAATGAGATTATTCCAGGGTAAAGAGTGTGGAGGGTTTCAAAAAGCGCCGTTTTCCGCTTAAATCTTGCTGTAATTTCAGCAGTTTGCGAACTTACGATTTGCGAACACTGAGTTTAAAGGCGCAAAATCTCTACTTTCTTTACTTTTTGAAATTTGAAAATTGGAGATTGGAATTTGAGTAGAGGGTTTCAAAAAGCTCACTTTTCCGCTTAAATCCTGTCGCAATTTCAGCACCTTTACGAGCTTCCGGTTTACAAGATGCGTGCTCAAAAGCCCGAAGGCTCCGCTTTCTTAATTTGTTTCATATTTGACAATTGAACTTTTACCCCGCTTGCTCGTCAGAGTGAATGAAAAACACAGAAACTAAAAATTCTCTTTAAGTTCAGTAGAAAAGCGTGTGCTCTAAATGTCGTTAAAATTTCGAACTTCACTCATCGTTTAGATAATTATCGCAAGATTTTAAATAACTATTGGGAACAAATTTTGAATTAAGTTTTTCAGAAATAAGTTCCTCTTTTGGAGTTGTGGGTTCATTAAAGGAGAGTGCGCTCTAAATGTTGTCGAAATATCTTAAAACATGAAAAACAACATCAAAAAATCATTTAATTCACATGAAATCCTGATTTTTGCTCACTTCATAAATGTCGATTTCAAAATGAATGCTTTTACGCACTTCTTCAATAAAAAATTCCAACATCCAAAGTAAAGCCAGTAGAACCTTGAAAGATTGGCATTCTGTAGAAGACGCTTTTTTAATGAAATTTTCGAGTAAAATTGCACCTAAATGACCGATATTCAAATTTTGTGTGACTTTTTGCAACAAATCTATTAGAATTTACTTACGCACGTTGTTATAACTGGATCGTGTTACCAATTTTCTATCCAATGATATAAAAACGAAATTTGTGGCTCAAATGGCTCTTGAGCAATCTAGTCTGTAATGTGGTGACAATTTCCAAATTTTTTCACTTTTTCTTGAATATTGGCCCAAAAGTTTGGTTATCTTTTTTTAGGTATTAAAAGTCCAGCGCCGCGCCTCGAAAAGCTTACAGCTTTAATCGGCCCGTGGGTTAAATGCTAGGTGCAATTCAAAGTGCTGCGCAGTGAGGCGCGATGAGTTATCAGCGCACAGAGCAGCCACAACTCAAAAACCAAGCTCAACTCAACACAGTGTTACCCATTCCTAGCTTAGGGAACCCCGAGATAAAGTATGAGGAGGTTTCAAAAAACGAACTTTTCCCCCAACCAGTTCCTTCACCTCAAATCAAACGGATTTCTCCTATTCTTCCCAACTTACCTTACTTACCGTAAATCGACCTGACAAACTCCAACACCAGATAAACTAAAAAAATATTTAATAATTTATACAAAATATTACATCAACAAACTGAGAAAGTGTCTTAACATAAATAACTCATTCTTATAACTACACAACTCATTGGCTAATCAACAGACCTAAAATCAATCTAGTTATCTAATGGGAATTGGGCGGTATTGCTCTGGACCAATGGGCTTTATCGCCTTCTGTTCAGCAGCGCAACACCCTACGAGATTATTTATATATCACATTAGAATGAGCTGAACAGCGGACACGCCTATCAGGTACTGGTGCTGTTCAGACTGTTGCTTTCTATTGGGCCGAACTTTTCGATGATTTTCTCCAAGCTGGTGGCAGTGCCCACCACCAACCCCAGCAGGGCAAACAGCGCGATTGCCACGTTTTTCGCGTGGATTAACACCATTTTAACTCCCCGATGGCTCTGCCATTGGACGCACGAGTCCATTATCGCTGGAAACGCTATTCCACTGCAGGAAATGCACAAGGCTCCCACCAGTGAGATGAACAGATCAATGTAGGGAATGGCCACTGCTAGACCAACTGCAAAAGAACAATTTCCAATAAAAGCCTTTGCAATTTTCCAGTGGCTGATTGCCAGACTTACATGTTAAAACAACCAGGCAAGTCCTGATGGCATACTCCCAAATGTTAACATAGTAGCTCTTCTCGAACCGCCTCAAAAGGTTCTGGGTCCACACAATGTCAATCGCCACATACATGGAAAGAGCATGAGTTGTGAAGATCGCCACAGCCAGCATGAGCTTGCAAACCTGGGCAGCTCTGGAAAATTGAAGAAATAACCCCTGCCGCTTTAGAGGAGGGCCAAACACTTACATGTTCTCTGGATCAATTGTGTAGGAAATCGAGCCCAAAACATGCTTGCCGTAGGCCAAGTAGCCGAACAATCCGGTCATCATGTACAGGACTACCACTGCAAGCATCCCAATGTTCAGCACGCCGCAGCAGGAGCCAAAGTTCTGAGGGTTCTTCATCTCGTTCTTCAGCGGCATGATCTACAAATCCCCATCAGTTAGAGCCGGTGAGAATTTAACACCCAGTAACTTACCATGCCGATGGCTTCAAGCGCAAACAGAACGGTTCCAAAGTAGAGCGGAAAGTCCCGATAGTCTCCTATCGGCTCCCGGTCTTCCAGCGTCACTTTCTTGCTGAAGATGAAGTAGAAAATGATGGCGAAGGAGACGAAAGTGAGGACGTTGGCGACGATAGTCAAGGGGGCGAGGAACTTGAGGTTTTTGATGTAGTTGATGAAAACCAGAGGTAGAAGAATGATCACCATGATGATCCGTTCGTCCACCGGATTGGCCATGTACTGGTCCAGGACGTTCTTGATGTTCTCGGCCACAAAGACCGTGTAGACGCAACAGATTCCCAGCTGGTAGAGCAGCAGGAACGTGTTGCTTATTGTTCTGGAAACAGATGGGAGAAAATGAAGCGTTGAATTCCTCTGATTGTTCACAGTAAAATTCATTTTCGGTTCCGTTAAGCCGGAAGAAGCAATAAAAAGTTGGAGGATAAAGGAGAAGGAAGCCTCTATAGAGCTAAGTAAACCGCATCTTTTGAGGTTGGGAGGTTTCGAATTCGGAAACTTTGGCTTGGACGTGCTAAGGCCTTCTACAGCAAACTAATTTAAAAAATTCGCATAAAAATCCGTTATCAGGCTAGTAAAATATAACAGAAAAGCCCCAAACTAATGCAAGCAATGGATCGGTGTACTTGTACTGGTTTTTGAAAAATAAATTGTGGAAAAGTGGTTTGGAGCTTTTATATGCATTTTAAGTTTTAAAGTACGTCAATTTTTTATTTTATTTATTTTTAGAATTTTATATGCAATTTAAGTTTTAAACTAGGTCAATTTTTAAAAAAATTGTACTAAACTGACCTGTATCGTTACAGAGCTTAAAAAATGCAAAAGCACTGTGAAATATTTGCTTTACATACTTGCAAACAGCGCATGTTTTTGTTTGTGCTTTAGGAAAAAAATATTCTGAAAACTTAGTTTGGACCTGTTGGACTTAGTCTGGGCTTCAAGAGCGCATCAAAGTTTAAAAAATCGTAAAAAAGTGACCAGCTAAGGATGTGAGCTCAAAATTTCTGCAAGTTCAGCCAAATACCTGCTCTATATATCTACGAAAAGCTCTTGTTTTTGTTGGTTGCAGTTTTAGCAAAAAATATTGCGAAGGATTGCTTAAATTCTAATCAGGCACTTGAGAGCATGGCAAATTCAAAAAATTAATACAAATGCGTCAGACAACGGCATTGAGCTTAAAAAGTTCGCAAGTACAGTAAAATACTTGCGCTACATAATCCTAAACAACGCATGTTTCTACTTGTTAAAATTTTGGAAAAACGAATTCTGCAATTTAGGTTTAGATGTATGTACGCAATTGAAAACACGCCAAACCCAAAAAATTAATATGAAACTGTTCGAGAATAGCGTAGAGCCGAAAAATTTCGAAAGTACAACAAAATACTCGCTCTAGTTACTCCCAACAGTGCATGTTTCTACTTGTGGTGGTTTTCAAATAATTAATTGTTGAAATCTGGCTTAGCCTGTTAACACATTCTAAAGCACGTCAAATTAGAAAATTCGTGTAATATCGCACAATAGATCTAGAGCGCTCAATAAAACACAAAATAGAGCTAAGTACATGCTCTATGAACTCATCGGAAGCGCATGTGTATATCTTTTGAGATTTGAGAGAAATTAATTGTGGAATCTTGGTTTTGACCAGGCCTCAAATTAGAAAATTCGTATAAAACCGTGCAAAAGATCTAGAGCACTAAAAAAATAACGGGATAGAGAGAAATATATGCTCTAAGTACTCATTAGAAGCACACATGCGTGTCTATTGAGATTTCGGATAAATTAATTGTGGAATCTTGGCTTTGACCCGCTTATAAATTCTAGAGCGCGTCTAATTAGAAAATTCGTATAAAATTGCGCAATAGAGTTAGAGAGCTTTAGAAATATCGCAATAAAGTAAAATACATGCTCTAAGTACTCATCCAGATGCACAGATGGGTGTCTATTGAGATATCGGATAAATTAATTGTGGAATATTGGTTTTGACCTGTTTATTAATTCTAGAGCGCGTCAAATTAGAAAATTCGTATAAAATTGCGCAATAGAGTTAGAGCGCCTAAAAAATATCGGAATAGAGTAAAATACATGCTCTAAGTACTCATCAGATGCACACATGCGTGTCTATTGAGATTTTCGATAAACTAATTGTGGAATATTGGTTTTGACCTGTTTATAAATTGTAGAGCGCGTCAAAATAGAAAATTCGTATAAAATTGCGCAATAGAGTTAGAGCGCTTAAAAAATATCGGAATAGAGTAAAATACATGCTCTAAGTACTCATCAGATGTACACATGCGTGCCTATTGAGATATCGGATAAATTAATTGTGGAATCTTGGCTTTGACCTGTTTATAAATTGTAGAACGCGTCAAATTAGAAAATTCGTATAAAATTGCGCAATAGAGTTAGAGCGCTTAAAACATATCGGAATAGAGTAAAATGCATGCTCTAAGTACTCATCAGATACACACATGCGTGTCTATTGAGATTTCGGATAAATTAATTGTGGAATATTGGTTTTGACCTGTTTATAAATTCTAGATCGCATCAAATTAGAAAATTCGTATAAAATCACGAAATAAAGCTGCAGAGCTCAAAAAACACTAGATAGAGCTAAATACGTACTCTAAGTACTCATCAGAAGCGCGTGTGCCTATCTATTGACATTTTGGAGAAATTAATGGTATAAACTTGGTTTTGACTTGCTTAAGCATTCTAGCTCATGCGAATTTCAAAAATGCGTATAAAATCCAACAATAGAGCTGCGGCGCCCAACAAATAATAGAATAGAGGGAAATATCTGCTCTACGTACTCAGCAGAACTGTATGTGCCCGAGAATTGAGATTTTGGCGAAATCAATTGTGAAACCTTGGTTTTGATCTGTTCAGGAATTCTAGAGCACGACAATTTAAAAACTGTGTTTTATACACAGTTTTCATCGCGCAATAGAGCTGCAGAGCTCAAAATCTGACCATATGGAAACCAACGCACGGCTCATGTAATGGAAAAGAGCGCATCCTTCTAACTGGTCAGATTTTGAAGAATTTAAACATCCAACTGGAGCCCAGCAGCAACTATAATGTTCCTGGAGAGTAAACTATATTTCATATAAAAAACTTAAGCTAAAGATTACATTGAAATAATTCTAATCTAAAGTATCAGCAACACAGAGTACAGTGTACAGAGTACAGAGTGTCCTTGGCTGGAGCTGCTTCTTTGATCATCAACCATCGACAGTGAAGAAGTCCGCCATTTAACATGCACGCTCTGTATATGGTAAGCTGCAGGAACTGATGCAATCTATCACAGCTGAGTGGAAGTGGGAGCACCTGATTCAATTCGGGGTAAATTTCTGGATAATTTGATCCATGCTGGTTATTGTGCCTACGACTAGACCAAAGAAGGCAAACAGCACTATGAGCAGGTTCTTGCCGTGGATCCACCACTTTAAACTATCGTCCAAATGGTACCATTTGGTGCTCGAGTCGAAAATGGCCGGAAAGGCCAAGCCCAACGCTGATATGCACAGTGCGCCTACCAGTGAGATGAACAGGTCAATGTAGGGAATCAACACTGCTAGGCCGACTAGAAAGGCGATTGTTAGTGACTTCTAACCAGCTGGAGGATTGCTTGGGGACTTACATACAAAGGATACCAGGAGGGTTCGGAAAACGTAGTCCCACAGTTGTGGGTGTGGTTTCTGGTCGAATTTGGCCTTCAGGTTCATGTGGTTCCATATAATATCAACACCCACATACATGAAGAGGGAAAACGAGGTGAATATAGCCAAGGCTAGCAGCAGCTTGCAAACCTGCGCGATCCTGCAAAACAGTGCGTGTTTTTCCTGGAAACATAACAGAGAAGTTGGAAGCCTACTTGGATTCTGGATCAATAGTGTACGAAATCGACGCCTTTACAGTGTCCCCATAGGCCAAGTATCCGAACAACCCCATAACAATGTACATGGTGGTCACTAAAAACATGCCCACATTCAATGTGCCAAACGGCTTGCTGAAGTGGGCGCGATTCTTCATTTCATGCTGCAAGGGCAGCACCTGAAAAGCAACTTTACATCCAACCACCCTCACTTACCATACCGCGCTTACCATTCCAATTGACTCCAAGGCAAACATGACGGTTCCAAAGAACAAGGGCATGTTGGTAAGCTGCCCAATGGCCAACCGGCCCTCAAAAGTGATCGGCTCTTGGAAAATGTAGTAGTAGATAATACCAAAAGAGACCACAGTGATAAAGTTAGCAAACGATGTGAGCGGAACCAGGAGCTTGAGGTTCTTCACGAAAGTCACTAGAATGAGCGGCAGCAGCAGCATAACAAAGATCAGCCGCTCATTCACTTGCCAGTAGTTGTTGACCACATTCCAAATGTTTTCGCTAATGAACACGATGTAAACGCAACTGGATCCCAGCTGGTACATCAGCAGGAACACGTTACTGATTATTCTGGAACATTATTCGCAGCAGGTGAAGATCCAGCTGGAGGGAAAATACCTTAGCTAAGCAACCACTTACCTTAGCTAAGCAACACTGGTTCACATTGGTTTTCACTTCAAGTTCCCTACACCTTTCTTCCTCATACATTGACCCTTTGATCCTCAACTCATTTCAGGCAAACGGCAACTTTGGGTGTTGAGTCCTTAGAGGTCAATGTGTGAGGAAGGTTCCTTTGCACATGAGAACACGAATTGATGCCACACTTTGAGTGCTGATTTCGAACAATGCTAAAGCCACCGATAGTTGCCCAAAAGTTTTGAGAAGCGGTAGTGGACATAGAGGACGTAGAGGATAAGTATAGCCATTGCAGGAACTTTTGTTTGAGATATTTGCCTCAAATGGTGTCTTTTTAATACCTGCGGGTCGCGTTTTTATGAGACTGAGAATTGGTGATTGGGCTCTTCTCAAAAACCAGTCTCTGGTTGTTTTTGCGCGATTTTTTACGTGCAGTAGCTGACTGTATTGTTGGAGTAAAAGTTTCAGGTAGCGCGTTTGTGTGGTCTGGAAGCTTCGAATTTTTTTGGGGAGCGCCTCATATGACTGATATTTGGTAATTTTGAGCGCTTCTCAAAAATCAGTGTTCACGTATTTTTGCGTGAATTTCCTTCTTGAAGTACTTGATTACTGTGTTTTTGTCGTACAAAAGTTTCAAGTGTCCTGTTGATCTTGTTTTGAGTTTTGATTGGAGTTGGATGGAGTTTTGATTTTTTTTAGAGAGGGTTTCACATCCTTGATATTAGGTAACTTTTGGGCGCTTCTCAAAAATCAGCATCTACGCATTTTTACTCCGATTATTTAGCCGAATCACCTGAGTACTCGATTTTGACGCCTTAAAGTTGCAAGTTTGCCCCGTTGATCCGGTTATAAATTTTTTGTTTTTTTTAGAGAGCCTCATGTGACTGATATTTAGTATTTTTTTAGCGCTTCTAAAAAATCCGAATCTGCGTATTTTTGCGCCAATTTCTTACTTGCAGTACCTGAATACTTTCTTTTTGTCTTGTAGAAATTTCAAGTAGCTCCTTGCTCTCGTTAGGAAGTTTTGACTTTTTTTAATAACCGTCTCATGTGACTGATATTTGGTCATTTTTGGGCGCTTCTCAAAAATCAGTTTCGATGTCTTTTTAACTCAGTTTTCTGCCTGATGTACTTAAATACTTTGTCTTTGTCATGTGAACTGTTCAAGCAGTCCAATGGCGCAGTTAGGAAGTTATTATTTTTTTTAGAGAGCGTCTTATGTGACCCATATTTGGTCATATTTGAGCGCTTCTGAAAAATCAGTGATTGCGAGTTTTTGCGTAAATTTCCCACGTGAAGTACTTGAATACTTTGTTTTTGTCTTCGAAAAGTTTAAATTATTTTGTTCCTCCAGTTAGGAAGTTTTTAATTTTTTAGATAGCGCCTCATGTCACTGATAATTACTTATTTTTCGGCGCATTCTCAAAAATCAATCGGTGGCTGGTTTTGCTCAAATTTTTTACTTGAAGTACCTAAACATCTTTGTTGAGTTTTTACCTGAATGCTTTGTTATAAAGGTTTTCAGTAGCCCGTTTGTCAAATTATGATGAAGTTTAGACTTTTTTTGAGAATGCGCCTTATGTGACTGATATTTCGTAAAATTTGAGCGCTTCTCAAAACTCAGTACTTACGACTTTTTATGTCAATTTTCTACTTTAAGTACTTTAAAACTTTGTTTCTTTCGTGTCAGAGTTTAAAGTATTTCGATGGCCCAGTTAGAAAGTTTTGATTTTTTTAGAGAGCGCCGCATGTGTCTCAATTCTCTCAAATCAATCTCTCCTCGGATGGTAGCTTCAATTTTTTATCATCAGTCACTCCATATTTTTGAGCGATTTTTATACCTGAAGTACCTGGACGCATTACCTTTGCTCTGTAAAAGTTTCCAGTATTCGCTTGACCCAGTTAGGAAGTTTTGATCTTTTTAGGAAGCACCTCGTGTGCCTGATATTTGGTCATTTTTGAGCGCTTCTCAAAAATTAGTGCTTACAAGTTTTTATGTCAATTTTCTACTTGAAGTACTTTAAAACTTTGTTTCTTTCGTGTAAGAGTCTAAAGTATTTCTTGGGCCCAGTTAGGAAGTTTTGATTTTTTTAAGAGAGCCCCTCATGTGGCTGATTTTTGGTAATTTTTAAGCGCTTCAAAAAAATCAGTGTCTTCGTGTTTTTGCGTGAATTTCCTACTTGAAGTACTTGAATACTTTGTTTTGGACTTGGAAACGTTTGAAGGATTTCCATGGCCCAGTTAGAATGTTCCGATTTTTTAGAGAGCGCCGCATGTGTCTCAATCCTCTCAAATCAAATCTCTCCTCGGATGGTAGCTCTATTTTTTATCATCAGTCACTCCGTATTGTTGAGCGATTTTCCTACCTGAAGTACCTGAACGSCTTGTCTTTGCCGTATAAAAGTTTCAAGTAGCRAGTTGAAGTCTAGTTAGGRAGTTTTGATTTTTTTTCAAATGCTTGTCGTGTGACTGATTTTTCGGAGTTTTTCAACGCTTCTCAAAAATCGGTTACTGCGTGCTTTTGTTCCATTTTTCTATCTTAAGTACCTGAACGGCTTGTCTTTGCCGTATAAAAGTTTCAAGTAGCCAATTAAAGTCTAGTTAGGGAGTTTTGATTTTTTTTCAAGTGCTTGTCGTGTGACTGATTTTTCGGAGTTTTTCAACGCTTCTCAAAAATCGGTTACTGCGTGTTTTTGTTCCATTTTTMTACCTGAAGTACCTGAACGGCTTGTCTTTGCCGTACAAAAGTTTCAAGTAGCAAGTTGAAGTCTAGTTAGGGAGTTTTGATTTTTTTTCAAATGTTTGTCGTGTGACTGATTTTTCGGAGCTTTTCAACGCTTCAAAAATCCGTTACTGCGTGTTTTTGTGCAATTTTTCTACCTGAAGTACCTGGACGCGTTGTCTTTGCTGTGTAAAAGTTTCGAGTATTCGCATGACCCAGTTAGGAAGTTTTGATTTTTTTAGGAAGCTCCTCGTGTGCCTGATATTTGGCCATTTTTGAGCGCTTCTCAAAAATCAGTGTTCAGATATTTTTGCGTGAGTTTCCTTCTTGAAGTACCTGATTACTTTGGTGTTGTCGTGCAAAAGTTTGACGTGTCCTGTTGATCCAGTCAGGGAGTTTCAATTTTTTTAGAGATCGTTTCACATCCATGATATTAGGGCATTTTTGGTCACTTCTCAAGAAGCCGTCTGACGGTGTATTTGCACGAATTTCGTAATTACAGTACGTCAATCTATTGTTTTTATCGTGCAAAAGTTTCAAGTGCCTCCTGTGTCTGGTTGCAAAGTTTGGATTTTTTTAGAGAACGCCTCATATTACTGATTTCTGTTATTTTTTGGGCGCTTAGTGTCACATGGTATGCATTGTTGAATTATTTTGCTAATAACTCCAAAACGGTGGCAGATGCGACAAAAATACCAAAGATCAAAAAGCTTCCTAATTTCCCAGGAAATTCTCAGGAAAAGTCTGTTGCATTCAGGGGCGTAACAAAAAAAATTTCTGCGTGATTACATTGGGCATGATCCCTAAAAACCAGACATTCTGTACATTGCTTCATCCATTCAACTACTGGACGATGTATCCGTGAGCGCAATACCCGTTGAAAATTGCAGGCAAATATCTCAAAAACTGCAGGAGTGTAAAAACTGCGGCAGAAATAAAAACTGTTTGTCTTTACATCCTCTATCGCCTCTAAAAGTTTGGCGGTATAGCTACATTTAGGGAACATCCTGTATAAGTGAGGAGGACAATTTGCCCAAGCACCAACGCCTCCAATAGACGCAAATTTCCCATTTTCCGCTTAAGTAACGCCCAAGCAACCCAACAAATATGCCTTATGTGAAGTGGTGTTAATGTGTAGTTTTGAGGGTTTGAAGGGTTTTTGGGAGCAGAGAGGAAATAGTTGGCAATATTGAACGCTGTAAGTGGTTCACAAGTGGCTGAGTTTTTTTAAGTCTTAAAATTGACCTTTAAACTTGGTAAAAATGTAATCAACTACCTACTGGAAAACATTTCGATTTCACGTGGCCACATTACAAAAATACGAAAATAGTTCATTTGAATTGGTTCATTAATAAGTGGCCAAGTTACATAATTAGCGCGAATGGAAACCGAATAAATCTGGACGCCGCTCTGAATTCCGCGACTTTTTTTTTTAATTCCTGCGATGACGACGCGCGTTAAAAATACACTTTGAGGAAAAAGCCACAAACTCGTCAGCGATGTTTTATTGTTATTCCAACACCTGGATTGGCAGTGAATCTGTGTGGTGTTCAATTGTCAACCGTTGAAGCATACATTGAAAGGAAACTTACCCGGAATAGGGGGCCAACTTGGCCAAAAATGGGGGGCCTTCGGCCAGAGCCGCCTCTGCAGTACCCGGATAAGTAAGGCTGGGTACTTTTTTCCGTTTGCACAGCTCGTATTCGGTACGAACCAACATGTGCATGCAATAAGTGCACAGGAGGCCGATCACGCTTGTTCCGATGATCCCCAAAATGTAGCCGGAATGATAAAAGGCCAACGGCATGGCCAGGATTCCGGTCCCAAAGCTGCTTTTTAGCAGGTGGATGAGGGTTTCAAAGTTCCTGAAATTAGCAAAGAAAAAATGATCATGGTTTGAAGAATGGCTCTAGACCTGCTCAAGGATTTTAATTGGGTGCGTCAACAGGTTCATTTATTACAGTAAATCCTGATATGAGCAAACAATGGATAGCTTTGATCTGCTGCTAATCAAAAGCGGCCAGGTGAAATAAACATTTGGTTGGGAAAATTCGAAAACTTGAAACTTGACCCAGATCAGTTGTCAGGCAGTGTACAGGTTTAAATAAATCACATTTTAGGCGAGTTTTTGACCAGTTTCAGTCAAAATGATTTCTTCCTGACGTTTTGCTAACACGAGTGGCTTGCATCATCAGAGGTGTCCCACCGGTGACTTCACCCTAGCTTCAAATCGTTTGTTATTTTGACAAAGTTTCTCGCATTGAGCGCATGGTGGGTGTTTGTTGTTGCCGAAGATTTGAAACAATATGTTTATTAGCTGCTAATTACTCTAGCAAAGTCCAAGATTGAGTGTCGAACAGGGACATTTTGGCAACTATTGAAACCGGAATTGTTCTCACTTGCATCGTATTTGCAACAGGCGCCAACAAATTCTCAGACTGATTAAAAATGGCACGAAATTTAAGGAAAGTTCGACTCGTTACTCGCTTTTGATTGGTTTCTGCTAGCACATCCAGACCTACATAGTTCGGATCGTGTGTCGATGCCAAATGCTGGGAAAAGCGTCACAGGATATGAGCAAAAAATATGTTTTTCTAGCTCGTTTAACATTATAATTGCAAAACAAATAAACGTGACTTACGTGGTGGGATGTTCGATGTCGCTGTGGTCATACGGGTCATAATCGCCTGCTTCTTTTCTCTTGAGCTCGTTGAGCTCGATGGCGTAGCTTTGGGCATTTGTTTTTGGGGTCAATTGTTCTCTGGAGTTGATCGCTGCCGAAAAACTGAAAAAATAGAAAAATCACCTGAGTTCCAGCACGTTTTGATTTATCAAAAGCTTCTAAAAAACTTAAATAGCAGGACTATACGGTGCATCAGAAAAAAGTGTGTTGCTTCTAAAATCTTTGCGGTATCAGCTTGAATTTTGGTCACAGTGTAAATGAAGCATTGGGGGATGTTCGCACGAAAATTCAGATAAATTAGGGATTGTGCTGGCTTTTGAGGAATTTCCAAAGATTCCTTCAAAAAGTGCGGTTTTGCAACCGCCTGTCGAAAAAATTTTCAGCCCCACACAAGTTGCAATTCCCTGCTAAGTTTTTCTCACAGTAAAAACGAAGCTACGGAGAACATTTATGTGGAATATCAGGCAAAATGAGACTCTCACTGATTTTCTCGTGACTTTTAAACTCTGCTCTGAGAATCGCAGCTTTGCAACTGCTCGCAGAAAAAATTATAACTAACAGTCGACAGTAACTTTAATTTCTCTCACAGTGTAGCTGAAGCATCTGGAAATATTGGGTCCAAAAACCGGAAAAATTGAGACTGTCAATATATTTTCAGTAATTATCAAAATTTTCCGTGCGGTTTTACAACCGCCTGAAGAAACAAATTGTCACTGCCAAACCATTTAGAATCTCACCCTAAATTTTGGCTCCAGTTTAAGTGAAGTAGCTAAGAATATGCAGACAGAAAATCAGGCAAATTGAAGGTCTGAACGATTTTTAAGGATTCTTTAAACTTTGCCCAAAAAACGTCTTTTAATAATTGGCTGAAAAAAATTCCAGCTTGGCTTGCAATTAATGATTTTTATTCCAGAATTTCTCACAGTGTATATGGTTGTTCGGAGTAACTTCAGGCTAAATTTTAAGTCAATTGAAGCTCGCGCTGAGTTTTTAGGAATCTTCGAACCACGCACGGAAAGCTGATTTTTCAAAAAAAAATTAAGCCGCACTCTGAAAAATCTCCCTTTAATTTGATGAAATTGGCCGAAGAAAAAATGTGCAACTCGGAACCGTTTGAAGATTTCAACACGATGTTTTTTCACAGTATATATGAACCTTGCATGTAATTTAAAATGAAAAATGTGCACACTTTCCTAAAAAATTAAGTACGCCCTAATTTTTCAAGACTAAGCAAATTTGGCCCGCGAAAGCAATTTTATGAAATTTTATAACGAAAAAATTTGTAACGCCGAAGAACTTCAAGATTTGAATTTAACTTTGTCTCACAGTGTATTTTAAGCAAGTAACTTCAACTAAAAAATGAGTCCACTTGAAGCACGCGTTGATTTTTCGGAACTCGTGCTCTAAAGTGCGGTGTGAAAATCAGTTTTAGGAAGGAGCATGAAGAAAACATTTTCAACTCCGAAGGATTTGAAGATTTCGACTCGATTCTATTTTTATAGAATATATGAACCTTGCGAATGGCTTCAGATAAAAAAATAATCCCAATTGAAGCACACGCTAAGTTTACAAGAATAAGCAAATTTCGTCTCGAAAACTAGTTTTATGTAATTGCCTAAAGAAAAACTTTGTAACGCTGAAGGAATTGAAGATTTCAACCTGACTTTTTCCCACCGTGTATGTCAAGTTTGCGGGTAACTTCAGGTACAAAATGAGTTAAATTGAAGCAACCGCTGATTTTTCAGAAATTTTCAAACCGTGCTCTGAAATGCGGCCTGAAAATCAGTTTCTGACCTGATGAAAAAAATTGTAACTCCCAAGCATTAGAAGATTTCAACTCGATTTTTTTCACAGAATATATGAATCTTGCGAGTAGCTTCAGATGAAAAATTAGCCCAATTGAAGCAAGCGCTAAACTTTCAGGTATAAGCAAATTATGTCACGAAAACAGAGTTATGCAATTACCTAAAGAAAACATTTGTAACGCTGAAGAAATTGAATATTTCAACCTGATTTTTTCTCACCGTGTATGTTAAGCTTGGAGGTAACTTCACTTAAAAAATGAGTCTGATTGAAGCACGCGCTGATTTTTCAGAAATTTTCAACCCGTGCTCTGAAATACGGTCTGAAAATCAGTTTCGGTAGTAACCTGAAGAAAAATGTTTTAACTCCGAAGCATCTCAAGATTTCAACTCAATTTTTTTAACAGAATATACGAACCTCGCGAGTAGATTCAGATAAAAAATGAGCCCAATGGAAGCAAACGCTAATTTTTCAGGAATAAGCAAATTTTGTGCCGAAAACAGATTCATGTAATTGCGTAAAGAACAAATTTGTAACGCTGAAGAAATTGAAGATTTCAACCTGACTTCCTCACAGTGTATGCCAAGTTTGCAGGTAACTTCAGCTGCAAAATGAGTCCAATTGAAGCACGCGCTGATTTTTCAGAAATTTTCAAACCGTGCTCTGAAATGCGGTCTGAAAATCAGTTTTATGTAGTTACCTGAAGAAAAATTTTGAAACTCCGAAACAATGAAAGGGTTCAGTTGCAATTTTGCTTGCAGTGTATGTGAAGTATGCGAACATGCAGATGAAAAATCAGGCAAATTAAAGCACGTCCTCAATTTGCAGGAATTTTGGAAACTCGGTCTGAAAAACAGCATTTCGGCGCTCTGATCAATAAACTTTGCAAGTTACCCGAAAAAACAACGCTCAAATGTGCCCACTCGCTGCGGATTGAAGTCCATTCATTCAATGTTTGAAAAATTGAAAATAATTGAATTGTACAGAAAGTTTAAAAAAACCGATCTAAATTGTCTTCAGTCAACCAACAAGAAAAAGTAAAAAACTCGCAATAACTCCATTAATTTTTGGTAAAACCCCAATTAATAATCCAAAGAAAAAGCTTGGAATAGTGGCTGACCATGAGCACATTAGATATGACAGTCTTCATCGAATTGGGCTCATTAAGAGCCGCTTTGTTTAAGCAGTTTTCAAGTTTTTTGTTTATTGCATAACATCGGTAACGCGTAGATTATTCAGCTATTCCACTTTTCATACCATTACAAGGATTTCGCTGCCTTTGAAAGGTCAGGTGTGATAGCCGACAATTCTATAATAATTATGCCATTGATGGAAACAGTGATTGGTATGTTTGCGCCTTTCACACAAAAACACCCATTTATCCACTGGGTGACTTCGGACATGGTCATTGCAGGGCTTTCAATGGAAAAAATTAATTTATCGGCAAACATTGATCAATTTACAGTACGCATTTGAGAGCCGGAATTTTTCACAATCCAGTGTGAAGTAGATGTGGAGATATTAATTAAATAAGGTAGATTAGCATTAAATCGAACGCTACACGCTAAATTGAAATGTCCACATGTTTGGCCGGAATATTCCATAAAGTGTCAGCTGGAGATGTACGATCTATTTCCAGATTTTCCCCAATATTTGCCAAAAACAATTTTAAAAAAATGGCGAAAATATATCACATCCCATGTACCTATTATAGCTGTCGTTCCTGTCTTCTGCCTTAAGGCGCTTAATGGCATCACTCATTCTGGCACAAAAGTATCTAGCTAAAATATCCAAAACGATCACCTTCGACACAAATTGGCGAAAAACTGGCTGGTTTTTTTCTGTTGAACTTGTCGCAACCGATCGCTGGAACGAACTGACGCACTCGTATAAGTGCACTTGAGAAAAATACTCGGATTATTAATGGCGAGTGGCTGGAATAGACAAATAGAATCACAACTGAGTTGTTTTGATTCTCGCACATTTAAACACATTCTTTTATTTTTTTCTCTTCAATTAACTAAGGTGACAACAACAGCATAAGCCTGAATTGGACCCACTTCTTCACTCGGGGATGTAGCATAACATATGGATGAGCTTTGAAAGATGGAAAGTAATGTTTTTTTGAAAAAGTGCAACAAATCTCGATTCACACCATTGACGATTTACCGATAATGTTTCCATTGTTTCCGTCTTATCACAGTTGTTGTTGAGTAGTTCAATGGCGAAGCACTCAATTTATCAGTGAATTAGTTTAATGGGGCAGCGCTTTTGCAGTGATAGAAGCCGAAAATGTCTAACTCCCAGACCTTTGGGAATGTCAACGTGAATTTTACTCACAGTGTAAAAGAAAGATCAGAGGATATATGCGGGGAAAATGAGGCAAATTGAGGCTGTGACTGATTTTACAGGAATTTTCAAACTTTGCTCCCAAAGTGCAGTTGTCACTCCCAAACAACTTCCCATATCACAGTGAATTTTTGTCACTGTTCGAGGAAAGCGTAAAAAAATATTCCTGTGGAAAATTTGTCGAATGGAGACACTTACTGATTTTGCAGGACGCTTCATACTTTACTCTGAGATTTGCGGTTTTACAACCGTCTAAGGAAAAAATTTTCACTCCTAAACTAGTAACAATATCAACATGAATTTCTCTCAATGGATAAGGAAATGATCAGCAAATATTCTTGTGAAAAATTGGGGAAATTCAGATGCTCACTGATTTTGCAGAAATTTTTAAACTTTGCTGTGTGAAGTGCGGTTTTGTCACAGCAGAAAAATTGTCACTCCCTAACAACTGAGCATCTGCACCAAATTTTTTCTCACCGAATACAAAAAGCATCACAAGATATTCGTGTGGAAAATCAGACAAATTGAAGTTGTTGTTGATTTTTCAGGAACTTTCAAACTTTGCTCCCACAAGTGCGGTTTAGCGACTACCTGAAAAAAACTTCTCAAGCCCCAACAATTTTTCAATCTAAACCTCTATTTGTTTTAGAGCAAAAAAGAAAGACCAGAGCAAATTCGCATGAAAAAATCAGGCAAATCCACAATCTCGCAAACTTTTCAGGAATTTTCAAACTTTGCTCTGAAAAGTGCGGTTTTGCGGCTGCCTGGAAAGGCAGCGTCTAGTAAAAACTGTAACTTCCAAACCCTTAAAGATCGGACCTGAGTTTTTCGCACAATATAAACAAATAATCAAGGAATATCCAGACAAAAAATGAATCAAATGGAGATCTCTTTGATTGTTCAGGAATTTTCAAACGTTGTCCTTCGGAGATTGTTTGTGCGGCTGCCTG